TTGTTTTAATCAAACAAGTAAGTTCTGTTGGTGTCTAAAAACAAAAATTCACCCAACATTGAAACATACTTCAAGATTTATGTTACCGTTTTCTTGTTTTTTTACTCACTGCAGTGTGAGGAACGAATCACAAACACTTTTGAGAAACAGAGAACATAGTGCAGATTTTAAAGAATCACATTTTAAAATCTCTGTATTGTGTTCCTCAAATACCTAGAGCCAGTCTGTGCATAAAAACATCACACTGTTGTCTGTCCCCTTAAAAAACTCGGCATCAGCCTAAAGATACGGGTAAGATATACTACTGCTTGCTATTTTGAAATTATTGCGTTATCCAACCTAATGATAGTTATCTAAAAAACTGTTTCTTCTATAGGAAGTCTCTGACAAGCTGTTACTCGTTTCCTTGAGGTTAAAAAAATCTGGGGGCAACATTTATATTTTATTAGAAAAAATTTAAAAAAGTTTACCTACTATGTTCATATTAAGAACAATATCTGCGGCCGGGCGCCATGGCTCACGCCTGTAATCCCAGCACTTTGGGAGGCTAAGGTGGGCAGATCATGAAGTCAGGAGTCCAAGACCAGCCTGGCCAACATGGTGAAACCCCGTCTCTAGGAAAAATACAAAAATTAGCTGGGTGTGGTGACAGGCATCTGTAATCCCAGGTACTCGGGAGGCTGAGGCAGGAAAATCACCTGAACCTGGGAGGCGGAGGTTGCAGTGAGCCGAGATCACGCCACTACACTCCAGCCTGGGTAACAGAGCGAGACTCTGTTTCACAAAAAAAAAGAGCCATTTCGATACAAGTCAGTTGTACAATTATTTTAAGAGAAAGGTAAACATGAACATCAGATTAATTCTGGCAGACAAAAGTGAACAACTATGGTCTAGTCAGCCGCTTTCTATTACAGAGAGATGACAGCTTTACAAAGGGTTTTGCTGAGAGATGATGATGTTCCCTCAGTCTCTGTGCCTTCTACCACTGGTTCACCTTCTATATTAGCAACTGTGTCACTCTTGTTATGTCCACCTACTATGTGCTCTGAGCCTGGGATACAGTGGTGAACAATTAGAGCCTGTCCTCACTGAGTGGATGGTGCAGTGAGCATGGGAGACAGAATACACTCTAGTACACGAGCCCTGAGAGTGCCGGAGGCGGGCAGTGCCCAGAAGGAGAAGGCAGCGTGGGAGGGGACAGGGATGCGGGCCTGAGAGCCCTCCGCATCAATCAGAGATCCGCAGGATGCGAGGGTCACGTGGGGACCAGCAAACCCCCAGTGCTGAGGCCTGGGAGGCCACCTTGGGCAGCAGAGTGAGTGAGAGGGAGGGGAGGTTGGGGGAGTCACAGCTTTCTAGGATGGACTGCGAATTCCTTACTCTTCCTCTGCTGTGATCAAAGGCACCTTGGCAAATCCAGGAAACAGCTCTGCCCAGCAGCTGGCTCCAGGTGGGCCGATGGAATTCTGGAACTACTGCCGGTGCTACGGAGACCTGGATTTTGTTCTCAGGCATATCAATGGGGGACAAAAGGTGGGTACACATCACCCCCCCATTCCCAGTCGGACACCACCAGGTGGATGAACCTAGCTGTGGCATCTGCCCTGTCACTCACAGCTCCACACTTCTGCTTGAATGGCTGTTGCAGGGGTTGGGAGTGGATTGTGGCAGTAAAAGTCGTTAGAGCGCATCCAACTTGTAGAAGTGAAAGCTTAAGTGAGAGCCCAGAGACCAAATGAGCCCACAGATGTGTTTCGGAAGATTTTTTTTTTTTTTTTTTTTT